ATAAACACATATATATACATGCACATATATGTATAATTTTTAATTGGGTTTATGTTTAAATGGAAATTTATGTAACTTTTAGATTTTTCAGTTATTTGCAAATCATATTTGTATTTTCTTTTTGGAAGTTAAGTGATAATCATTGCGTTCATCTCTCTTTTAAAGTCTGGTATATATTTTAAATTTCTCATCTAGAGAAGCTCACTGTCATCAAGTCAGTCTCAACTCATAGCAACCACTATTAAGTTTTTAAGGCTGCAGTTCTTTACAGAAGCAGACTGCATCATCTTTCTTCTGTGGAGCAGCTGGTGGGTTTGAACCATTGACCTTTAGGTTAGCAGCCAAATACCTTAACCACTATACCACTAGAGCTCTTTAAGCATTACCTTAGTGACTATTTATTTATTTATTTATTACCTTTAGAAAGTCAAAATCTGAGTGTCTTCACCTTAATCAGGTTATCTAGTGTAGCATTACTTAGATTGGGATAACTTGACATTGTGTGCCTATTGGTGTGATGCAAGATGAGGTACCCAGCATCATCACATTTCCTATGAAGTATCTTGGCAAAAAATGTTTACCCTGGGTTTGATCAGTCCTTTAGGATAAACTTCTGGTTTACAGTAAATACAGAGATTATACAACATATTAAATAACACCATGAAAAAACAGATAAATACAGAATGTGTGATACTCTACAAGTCAACTGGTCTGGTTATTTTGAAAAGTCAGTGTGCTGGGGAAAAACAAATTGGTGGAGTTAGTGGGTGTGCTGTTTTAAAATAAAAGAATCTAAAGGGTTATAATCCCCTCCCAAATTTTAAATACAACATAAATGCATGGACAGTGAAAATCAAGATATTGTATGACTTGTAGTGAATAAACAACTGTTTGTAGCTCTGCCTATCCCAATTTTTGGATTTTAAAATGTGGTTATACTAGTATTTATTGATTTTTCCATTTTAGGTGATTATTGACTTCTTTTTATGAAAGTCTATCCTTTCCCCATCTTCATTCTTCTCCTACCATGTTTTAAGTGTAATCAAAGCAGTTTTTATATCATTAAGATTATGTAAGGAGCTCTGGTAGCGTAGTGCTAAGGCACTTGACTGCTAACCAGAAGACTGGCGGTTCAAACCCATCAGCCACTCCTTCGAAGGAAGATGGGGCAGCCAACTTCCGTAGTGATACTGCCTTGGAAACCCAAGGAAGGATCACTATGGGTCTGATCCGACTCGATGGCACAGAACAGTAACTGCAACAACATTTACACAGAGCTAAGTATTACTCTGTTTGCTTTATGCAGTTTTTGTTTCCCATGCATTGAAAAATGGCCTTTTTTGTTGTTTTCTTTACTTTTATTTACCTCCCTTACTTTTCTGACGGAAGTGTAAAACTCCTTTTTGTGGTCAAATATATCTGAAATTCTCTCAGTACCTTTCCATTTTTATTTTTTCTGTCTTCTCTCTTTCTCTTTGTTTTCTTAGAATTTTTCCTTTCTTTCACTTGCTGTATGAATTAATTGTTCTCTGTGTTCACTGCAGAACTGTTGTCCTGGGACTTTTGTTTGCTTCTCTTGTGTCACATACTGCATTTTTGCAATTTCTTCTCTTTATTTCTTTTTGAGTGAGCACAGTCTCTGATAGCTTCCTATCAAAGATTGCATGGGACTTATTCTTCTTAAGACTGTAGCATGTGAGGAAAAAAAATAATTGCAACCTCATATTTGATAGCAGGTTTGGATGTGTATGAAAATCTATATACAGTTTAAGAAGAATTTACAGTTCAAAAGGATTTTCAAAAAAACTAATATCCTTTTAATTGTGATATTGACGTTCTTGCTCTTATCTTCTCCCTCCAGTATTTTTGAGAACTCCAGTGCCATTCTGAACCACCAGTATTTTATAAATGGCTTTTATTCTTCCTGGCACATTTCTATATTTTTTCTTTATATTTTAGAAATTACATAAGAAGGTATTATTATGGTGTAAATTAATTGTGTTTTTCATTTAATAGTTTATTTTAAATTTATAAACTAATGTCCTCCATATCTTTGGGAAATTTTCTTATGTGTTTCTCTTGATAAGTTTATTTGTACTTTCTTCTTCTCTCTGTCCCCTCTTTCTTCCTTTCTTCATCTGGCCCTCCCTCTCTCAGACTCCTATTATTCAAATGTTGGATGACATGAATATTATTTATTATTACATTTGTATTTTGTTTAAGTATTTGTTTACTTCCTTTTCTATTCTGTTTTCTACCATTTGGTCTTTTGTTAAATGAGCTGGGAGATTTCTTCAATTTTTTCTTCTTACTCACCTTTTGCATCTTTATTTATTTATTTATTTATTTTTTTATTAGGATTTGGGTGAAGATTTACAGAGTAAATTCACTTTTCATACAGCAGTTCACATATACTTTGTCTCATGTCATT